TTTTAAGATGTCACAACTAAGATATCAAATCATAAAAGTTTGTGGAAATGCAGGTGCTTATTTTGAAATGGAACAACTTTGGATTATCTTTGCAAAAAATTGACATCAACATCAAGTGATGCCAGTATGGTTCATATGGCGGGTAACTTGTTACATGCAATCTCATTTTCTGTGATTCGATACGAGCCTTTCTAGTAACGTGGAATTCAAATTCAAGGCCACAGCAATCTACACACAAACGACATAAAGACCCAGCAATCATCCGGAGTGGAGACCGGTCTGTCTAATTGGCGACGTCTTGTCGCCAAGTTTGCCGAGATAACACCTGCCGACATTTCATAAATGTGCGAAAGGGCAAAGGTGCGGATGGCGTCGTCCTCATCTACCGTCCACTTAACTGTGGTTGTTCCTATCTGACTATCCGGAAATGCAATCGTTTCTGCTAATTTCTGAGTAAATTGAGTCAGAATAAGAGCGTCCATAATGATTTGCAGTAAGAGATAAGTCTGTAGTTTTTACTGTACTTTTAAAGGAAGATTCATGTTGTGAGCAGGTGTTTGTGATGGATTTAGCAACAAAACCGGACTTGAGGCCCACTTCAGGGATTTACTAACAGGTCACAGGTCTGAAATGAGTCAGAATTGAGGTCAGGGGTGCTTTCTCAAACCCTTAAAGTCCTTGCAACAGAGTTGACATGTCATGTCATGTCATCATACGTAACGTTTTGGATAAGAATTCCGGAACTGATTTCAGTGCGCGGGTGAAAAAGATTCAGATACATGTTATATTATCTGGGATCAGAACTTCAGACTCATTAACATCAAAGGATCAAAAGTTCAATCTAGCTTAACCTACAAGGCCCAGAAACACGAGTCACAACAATCTTCACCAGATTCATGATTACACCGCGAGTGCTGGGATCCACCACCAGGGCGCCCCAGGTTTTAAGAGGGACCTTGACTGACTTAAATGTCTAGCTATTGATCGTTTCAACAATCCCTTTAGCTAGGTTGTGATTACTGCAGCTCGTATCAGTCCAGGACCAGGCAATGATTACTGTAGGCAGTGTTACACCTGTATTGTCACATGCCGATGGACAGACTGTCAGATGACAGGCCCTAAGAACAGCCTGTTTTATCATCAGCCTTGGGACAAGATTACATTCAAACGACATTTCATTTGCTGGCTGGCTGAGCCCTTGATTAATTTAGTTTTGTGGAGCTGGAACTGAGGAAGAAACGACAAGAAACAGAAGGTCTAGGAGACTCCCCAGTGAGATCCACGAACGATGTCTTTGTCAACATCTTGATCTTAGTGTTGTTGTCCTATTTTTTAATCTTTGTATGTCACTTTAACGAGAGACACATGAGCTATATCACAGTATGTACCTTCTGCCTAATGTATTTGCTGGTGGCTCGCAAGTTGAACAAGGATCAATTTGACGACAGAGAGCGAGTACTTGCTGACAAAGAGGCTAATAGCAGAAAGCACTAGAAACCACCAGGCTCTTATTTCCCAGGACGACTAATTTTCCCTTTCATTTAAATTCAGTAGATTACCAAAGTAATTGAACGTCAAACTGACAGCTTCTATATGTGTGCTTGGCGGCCTACTCTAACTGATTGCCACCACTGAAAAGTTGTGATTGAAACTGTTTTGAAGAGATATCTGCCGAGAGCGCCTTTGCAGCTATTCTGGAAAATTACAAAACATAAAGGTTAAATGAAATGGTCGTTCAGGCGCGCGAGCTAGTGGATTGGATTGTTCTTGCGATAATTAGTACTGTCTGGACGATACAATCACTGGCAGCAAACATAACAAGAAGTTTAGAACGGTGATGCGGGCACGGATTATGAAAAAAAAGAAATGTTTTTATTTCTATGAAACAAACCAATACGACTCAAAGGTTTATATGGCATTGTGAGATCGTCCTTACGTAGTACTACGTGTACATTCCCATGGGCCCCCCAAAAGCAAGCAATTCTGAATATTAAGATGAGACTTTACTACAAAAATGTTTGAACAAATATGTGGGTCTCAAAGATATACAGCCTTGAAATTAACCAAAGCTGTTTTTACGATTTTACATCGAGTCTGATTGCTGCCTTCAGTAACCAATCAAGAGGGACGCACCAGTCCACAACATTCCCCGCAGCAATCGGGACACACTTTACAGAAATCTGTACCGCCTAAGACAAGATTTGAAATGCAAATGACTGTTACCACGTCCCATCATTTATCTCACTTTTACTGTGCACCCTTCAGTACTGGCAATTCATTATCACCTTTGTTACCACATCACCGAAGATGTCACAAAACTCTCCGGCTAACGGGACGTCCGTGTTATTTGCCGGAGGTGTGATGGGTTTCTGAGGCAGCCTGGAAAATCCCTACCCATGCTGTCCTGCGTATTCCTCAACGCTGCTGTGATAGCAGGAAGCCCGATGTTGTGGCTTTCCTGTTCAGCACATCTTTATAGTAGGAATATCACTGTAGATATACATCCTTCATTGCTATTTCCACCTCCATTACTTGGCCGTGTACGGGACCATACCAGGGATACACCTAGACATGACGCTAAAGGCTGCTGGTATATATAGTTTCATCAGTTTTGGAAAAGGAAGTTTTGCTACATCATTGCGTCATTGGCCGCGCACAAACGTTTGAGGTGAGCACATCAGGTCGCCGCGGGGTGCAATAAGCTGTTGGCAGGCAGTTATTGCGCCATTGATTCCTCACAGTCCCACTCTAATTCCAAAATTCCAATTCATCGCTGGAATACTCATTGAGTCCCGTTCTTCGTATGTTAGCATTACTCCAAATAACAATTCCTTGAAGTATACGGTACCCCACAGAGAGTTCTTGATTGAAGTTATCGATGTCCATTCCATGTTGTTGAGAGGGCACAATAGCTATCTTCCTGTTCGACAGCCAGAGCTTAGGCTTTATCTGGTCGATACCAGATGAGTTGCCGGCGTGGTCATCCACATTCCACGCACAAAGACTGTCTCATCATCGGCCCCCATTTATTTGCAAAGCCCTGCAGAGTGCAGGAGCATTTGCTTAGCCTCAGTGTCATGGAACGTCATGGCTAATCGGCTTAAGAAGAGTCATTTTAGATAGCTGCGAAGTCATTAAATTCCAAGCCCGCTGTTGGCAGCTCAGAATTATGGATTTTGAAAGGAAGCAGAATAAACGACAAGGCTGTCGGGTTTCAATTTCGGTATTCCCTTGTGTGATAAAGAAAATAAAGAACTACCAAATAGCTCGATCGTGGTCATAAAAGTTTTGCCGTGAAAGGTCATTTATAGGTCATGACATTCGATACCGGGCCGGGCCATTGACCACTTGGCTGGAGAGTTAGACAGAGTCGTCCGATTCATGCCGAAAGCGATGAAATTACCACAAACGGGGCAGTGTTTACATTGCTTATCAATATTTGATGACGGCTGAAAATGGCTGGCTATGCCGATAACACTAACATCGAACCTGTTTAGATAAAGACTAAATTATTCATCTGAAGGGAAACTTACTGCTTTCAATTTTTTTTGTTCCTGATAACTTTTCCTACACTCTCATCAGTCTTTGTTTGACATCATATCTCACCCATAAACAATGGCCGAGGGCGATCGAGGGGCGTTAATACTTCAAAATTCAGGTGATGATAACTCAAACGTAATTGACTGGTTGTAATCCCATGCTCAGACCACCCATGTCAGCATGGTGAAATATAGGTCCATCCTCCTAAATGCCTCTGCTCGCTGCTATCCCCAATATGACGTAAACACCGCTAGCCGCAGGTCTGGTACATGGTGGACCTCAAGTTCTCCGAGAGGAAATTAAAGAAAACGATTTCTTACAACTCATAAAGGACCAGAGTCCGCCAGATGGTGCGCGCAATCTCACCCTTAAGTAATGCATCTTAATTACGAACCCAAGTGTCGAGAGGATTCCCCCGGGTCCTTATTAGGTACCTGAGAAGAATTAAGTTGATGTATGATCCGTGAGAGTACCGTCAATGCAGCACGTGTGGCTGGCTCCTTAATTTAGTACATTTATTACTGCGTCTCCATGTACGGCTCATGCCTCAACAATCAAAGAACCCGCACGCAAAAGGGACCTGAGCTATAGAGCACCGGGAATAACATGTACTTAGGGATGCCTGAATTGTGCATACCTGACATTTTTGATGCGTGGCACTCAGATTTGATGAATTGAACTCTCATGGTCTGATATGAAGTTTTGCCCGAGCATATGGCTCAGGATTTAAAGGCTCTTAAGCGGATTCCATACGCAAACGACTACGTCAACGAGCTTCGATTGGCAATATCATATGTTGTGTAAGCTGTGCAGTATAGAGGTTCTGCATGGTGCACTTTATCATCACCAGTTCACCTGCTCATGGGAAGGTTCTGAGGGACTATTCAGATCAATGTCACAAAAATGATGCCTTCTTCTCTATTTATGCGGAGTTGAAATAAATTCCGTTCTGTACTGGGTTTCACATCATAAAAGTCGTATTGGCATGGGTTCCGAATTAAGAGGACATGATCACAGTAGGATATGTTGCACATTTTCCGTCCCCAGTGTTTAACAGTATTTAGAAGATTAACCATAGACGAAATCATAGTCCACCATGACCGTAAAATGTCACCAGAATGTCTCCAGCGGCAGTTAGGCGTGCTAGGGGGCAGTCATAATGCTTTCAGCTAAAGCTTTAATATAAAACGTCCATCCTAACTAGCATCAGGCCTTGATGGCCTGGATGAGTTGACCTTCTGATGTTTTACTCAACATTTAAGAATCGATTCTTTAAACGACTCGTTTTGCGCTACGCATTATCCCATAATACTCAAGCAGTCTAGGCATCTTCAACTTTTCTGCCATTCACACTTGTCTTGTTATGTTGCAGAGGAGCGGCGATCTCGCAATGTCAATACTCGGATCGCGATAATCGAGGTGAGTTGTGCTAACGTGGCGCTTGTTCTGACTTGTTGCAGCGTTGAGCCCCACGTGGCTGCGGAACAAGGTGGTAGTCATCGTGATCGTCGAGGTAGGTACCGGTCGGAACTGGTTTGATTGACTGGCTAGTACCGGTTGGAACTGGCTTGATTGACTGCCTTGTTCTGGTCATTCCAGAAGCCTTCTGCAAAAAAAGAATTATGCTGCTGCTTAATGTAAGATTGGAGGTGAGTAGTGACAAACACTAACTGTGAGAGTGGTGAACAGTAACTGTTTAATTGGCATGTACTAACGGTTCGAATGAGAAGTTGTGAATGTTGAGCTATAAGACCCCAAGGCGCTGTCCTCTGTCTTAACCCTGACTTAGCAATGTCAAGGTATGTACGTATGCTTTTATTTGTTGTATTGCCATCTAATATCATACTACTAACCACGCTTGTATGTCTGATCTTATTTTCTTGCCAACAGTATTCCCACTAATATAGCCATGTTCCTCCCATGAAGTCAAATTTGTATGTTAACATCTACAATGAAGTTAGCCTGGGTGTCATCCTAGTAATTTTGTGCCGGGGTCCCCCCTTGCATACTCATATACTCACTTTATTAGGAGTATGAGGGGTAACATGGGCTTCGTCATAAACTAACTAAGACGGCACCCATGCTACGATGACGTATGACAAATACAAACTAAGTGCATTTCTACCTCGCGTATGTGTAGCAGTTCTTCGTGATGCAGTCCCTGTATTCTCCAACTTCTCTCGCATATGTGTGCACCCAATAACAATGTTGCTTGTGATAACCAGTACTGACATATGTGACGTTTACATAACAATGTTGAATAATGCTAATTATATTTCATTTTGAAGTAAGGTTAATACGCTGATTATTGTATCACCTCGAATATCGTTCAAAGGTTTCATTTCGTTTTGGAACCTATCTGGGCAGTTTATCATGAAAAGTCATTTGACATTTCGCTTGCCCTACACACTAAACAGAAATATTGCATTTAAAATAAAATGGAATCTTGCAAATATCACATTAAATAACCCATATCTACACATGTTTTTGCTATTTCGCACACTATTGTCAAACATTCGAGCTAAAGTTAAATAAAGTTTTGACTTACAAGTTTAAGAGTTAAAGAAGCATTTCTATATTGCCTAATACGAACCACCCAATCTATCACTAAAACAACTGTGTTGAAAGCCCTTTACAGACATTATGTTTCATTCTGCCGTTTTTATCATTTTGTTTTCCTAGAAAACTACTTCATGCCATCTTTTTACCATAAACTGTCAAAATTTCCACAGACATCCAAGCTTACCAGCCAGTTCTAAATGCCGACCTTGACATTTCACGGATATTGTAAATACAACTGTAACTCCACTGAGACTAATGCTCCAGAGGAATCATGCCTGCAGAATTCGAATAATGGCTTTCAATTCAGGAAACTTGGGTGCAGACCTTTTCTGTCCTTTTACCCGAGCTTTTGCTGCCACTTACATGTAAGTCTGTCTCATCTTTGTATGGTTTATTCCCACCGCAGATATCTCTATCTGTCCTAGCGCCTGTGTATGGTTTATACAGGTTCAATGTCCCGGGGAAATTCCCTTGGCTTTTTTCATACAATGGGAATAGGCCCTGAAGACTGCGACCTTTTCCAGTAGCATGTAAGTTGGGTGAGCAAACAAGGGCTGGGATTTGAATACACGACATCTTGGTGCAAAGGCCAGGTTAATGAAAACCGGAATACACAAGCTGCCAATTCGAAGTATCTAAAACTGAAAGAATATTCCCCAGGAATACCTATTTGGTCGTAATGGCTTCAACTCGCCTGATTCTATATAGCAAATTACCATGCCAACTGATCACCATTGCAATATTTAGAATAAAACGTGTCCATTCCAATCCCCCATACACACGGTGGAGATTTTTTCATCATCATCATTTTAATAAAGGCTATTTGGTGCGATTTGAATAATCATCTATTCGGAGACGCATTCAACAAAATCATAAATGACATTGTATTGACAATCGTATGTGTACCAAACTGTTCGTTTTAACCCTTTTCAGAGGGGCTTTTTTAGTCATGCTGGGACGGACTTATCGTAAAACCACCAAAAGCTCAGAGGATAGTGTAGTGGTAAAATTAAATCGTAAAAACAATTTTGGTGGACGTAATATGACGTCATTTATGTATTTATTTTAGCTAAAACCGTCAAAGTGGGTTTTCCCGTAAAACTGAGAGTAATACAACCAAACTTTAACAAAAAGTGTCTATGACTATGACAGAATATTAAGGTCTAATAAGACTGATGTGGCCGGTGGCAACAACACTGACGTCAAAATGACGTCATAAAATGACGTCATGCATATTCAAGCTATCCGCCATTTTGGATATTGACTTTTTAAAATTCCTTTTTTGCAAGATACAGCCCAAAATACAATGCAAATGGACATATTCATATGAACGTTTAATGTGTTTTGTTTTGAGTTGTGATGAAACCTTAGTGAGAAAACGTGGCTACACCAGAGCTAATAATATGGTCCACCATCTTGGACTTTTGACGTCATCAAATTAGCATAAAATATGAATATTTGATTATAGAAATGACATATAACTCTGTTATAGATGTTAGAAAAGACTTAAAACCTTAAAAACGTTTAAACCAAAATTACTCAATTTTTCAAAACTGACTGCAATGCCAATGGCAATACGAAAATCAATCAACTTATTTCATTAATATGAAATTGTTGCCAGATATATTTTAGATCATTAAAGTCACTGAATTTGATGGTCCTAGCACAAGCCGTTCAGGCGCTATCCGAGACGAAAGTTGGCGCGGGCCTCAAAAGCACTCCCCCTGGTCTGAATAGAGTTAAAGACAATAAAATTGTATCATCAACGCAGAGAGCAAATAGCATATGCCTTATTTGTTATTACGTGATAGAACTCGAAAAAGAGTCTCTGTCTTGATATCAAAAGAGAAACGAGGTATCAATGGTATTTGGGATATGCCAGCTTACTCATCGGACTACATACCTTCAATGATGTAGAATAAATCAAGAGGTGAAACAGGCGGTCTGCAGTTCTTGTTTTTGTTTTGCTCCTCCATACTGATACAGTATGAAGTGAAGAAGCCGATCGTAAGCTTTGTCTCCTGAGTGGAGAAAGATGATAAGGAGCAGGAGGTAAAATGAGATATTCTGTCCACCTCTAGTGACGCAGAAGAAGTAGTGACCTGTCGTCATTGCTGTGTACCTCGTGTAGAGTGCTGCAGATGACCCGTGCTAACTAAAACTACAGGAAGTCATTGGATGGTGTTTTTCAGTCCACGAATGGTCCGTACCTGTGTTGTGGAGTGCATTAAGAAGTGGAAGCGGCGATTAGCAGTCTTTAAAGGGACTCTCTCGTGAAGCTGGATCTGGATTCTGATGCACCTCATGATGTACCTTCGATGCTTTTAAGCTTTAGAAGCATGCAACGGGATGATAGGAAATGGTGTGCTGTTGTTGATGCGTACTTAAAGCGACCTACAGGGAGAAGTGTGGAAAGTGGTGTACAGGCCCTGTTAGGGTGATAATTCCACTGATGTTGATTTTTCACCCTGTAGCGCCATGTCTACAAACTTGCAATGACATAACCATGGAATACTTCCCAATACTCATCCGAGTGCCGAATTCCACATTAAGCCGGAGTAAAGTACAATTTTCGAAGAGAAAACTTAGTTGATACCAATCATCAATAATCAACATATATTGTTTTAGAATATTGCAAGAGTAATTCTCTTAATACACCAGGTAAGCTAAAGGATGAGTCAATGTTTCATTTTATGGTTGATGATAAATGCTCCAGAAGAGGAGGATGACAGGGCAATATTTCTTGACTCTCTGGCGGCCCTGTTTGTTCAATTATCTTGATCTCCATTTGTTGTGATGAATGGCAGATTTATTAGGAAGTCTTTCAGCATCCCCGGATTAGCATTATCTATATCGTGTAAAAGTGGTTTAATCAAATAAAGATTACTGGCAATCAACTACGATCAGTCATAAACCACGAGCCCAAAAGTCAAAGATCAATGTTTAATGGTGCCTGGGAAAGAGAAGATAGGTATTAAAAGCTAATATCTAATTAACGAACGCTTAATGTTTGATTGTCTAAAGTTGATCAAGTGCAAGAAATAAGTAAACAAGTCATTTCTAAAGATTGGAAAAATAATTGCTCAATCAATTTGTTCCTATGAATATCTTACAGTTTTTGAGTTTCCATCTCTATACAGTGTTGCATAAGGAACTTGAACGTGGAAACATCTGGTCATATTCAATAATGACTGAAATGGTAAGTTACAGTCAATCAACAATGTTTTCAGAATGACTTGAATATTGCCGAATCCGTCATTTATCAGGGCAAATGACGACTGAGATATTGAAGATAACAGCCGAGCTAGATCTATAGAGAGTCTTGAAATATTGTTTTATCGTGTTCCAATTTGAGGATCTTCATCATTCTATCATACAAATTGAATGAAATATTGGCTTTTTATTAAACCTACCCAATAAATAATGCAAGTAAGTACAATAAATAATACAATTCCCAATATAAGATTGTAAAAATCAATTAAGGACTATACAGTTGTTGATGGTTTATAGATATATATATCGTTTAGTGCGCTGACTGAACTAACGGCTAATTTGGCGGAGTTTTACGGAGAACATGACAGTTAAAGTAACCATTGGGTACCATTTCATTAAGATATCATCATAAGAAACACTACTGCCGAGGCTGCTGAAGTTGCCATTATGGGATCTCAAATTGTAACAATTGGCACATTCAGGATTGTTTATCAAATTGCCTTTTGAAACAGCCAGCCCACGGGTATACATGACTGGTCTCGATCTGTCGGTGCTGTGATGCATATCCCCCTCGAGGACTGTCCTTTATTGTTCAATAAACATCCATAACAATCACGCCCTTCTCTGCCATACCTGTTGGATACAAGGCGCTTTTTCTGCTGATCAAATCCAATTACCTTCTCCCTCTGTTTCTTTCGGTTACAGTGTTTCTCTTGGGTTCTAGACGCTTACATTGCTTTTGCGTTATTTTAGTCACAACATTCAAACGATCCATTACTTGGTATTTGACACCTCCACAACTATTGAACAAAATTAATGGAGGGAATTACAAACACCAAAACATTATTAAAATTCCATTCACTAAAAAAATATCAGTTCAAGACTGAACAAGACCTCGAATTCCAAGTTGATCTGGCTGATGATCTTATCCCTATATTCTAAAATAAGAAATACATTTCCAAAGCAGGGCAGATTCCGCTGAGTTTAACATTTAACACTGATTTCAATTCCGGGTCTGAAGTATGGATAAACGGTAAGACGACCCATTACATAAAAAGTCCTAAACTAACTTATATCCTTTTAATTCAATAACTAATTCATGACCATCTACATGGAAAATTCCATCTTTGTTTAGGAGTTTTTTCTTGACCACAAATTCCGATTTCCATACAATCATATTATAATTCAATACTGCAATTGACAATTCTTCGATAATTGGACCAACGGGAGACTTCTCTGACAGGAGTCAGTCTAACGTGAGCTTCAGCCTCCCACGAAGACATACAATTTATTTCACCTCTACAGCAAGGCTGGTAAGATTTATCTACTTCTCTCGACAGGAACCTCCGTTCATCATCAAGAGGGGCGAGGACGGAAAGGAAGAATTTGAAGGGTTCTGCATCGACCTGATAACGGAGCTAGCTAAGGAAGTAGACTTTGAGTTCCACCTGTACACGGTAGATGACGGAAAATACGGCAGTCAAGATGCTGACGGCAACTGGAACGGACTGGTCAAGGACCTCATGGAGGACGTACGTTATTCTAGCCACCACCTTTTCGTTTTACAACACGTTTTAACATTATCGTTTTTCTCCCTACTTACTGGATGGAATAGGCATGCAGGCAATAGGCATGCAGGCCATGTGACGTTTTCCCCGTATCATTGTCTGAGCTGAGCATGCGTATAACCCACAATGCACCATGACATAAAAGATGGCGGTCTCCTATAGGCTTCATTTATCCATACTGGTCATTTCGGTCTTAATGACGGCACAAATGAAACTCTTGGCATCATGGAATGGACCAAAGGCATAATTGGAGCCCCTAATTATGTCATGGGCCATTTGTGGATCGATCCACGCTGCACTATGTATACAATGGGTTTTAGCTGGAAGAATTTGCGAAAATCAAATAACAAAAACCCCGAACAAGGTTTATCGGTCTATCTTGGTTTCAGTTAAAAAATCGAGGGCACTTCTATCAAGAAATTTAAAAAAAAACATAGATAAACTTTTCTCAACAATGAATTACATCTCAACTCATTTTCTGTCAGAAATAGCTATAGTGTGGAGCTTGATTGTAGTCTAGCCTCTTATGAATATAGATCATGTCATCTCAACTTAACAGTTCACGTCGAGCGCATCTGCATTTCATTGTCGCTATGGAGGACGAAAAAGTCATCAGCTGCGGAAGGACACGTCTTTCCGAGGACATGTGAATACCAGAATTAATCTTTACCCAAAGTCTACAGCACTTCTTTCTCACCCCTCTGGGCCTGTCCAACATTGAATGTAATTTCCCAGTGGACGAAAAGCTGAAACGATCTCCTCACCCAAGGGACTTCTGGGGAAAGATTGGATCTTGTGGGGAACCTTAACCGCACCAGACTAGTGGTGGAATTTGGGGAGATTATAGACAGAGACGGCTTAAGACCATGGGTATGGATGGAGTGGTGTGAAGGTGTGAGGGGTTAGGGGTGAAATGATGAGAGTGAGTTGAGAATGAAGTAGAATGAACGGCATCATAAGGGATTGAGCGGCATGAGATAGATAGAAATGAGTAGGAATGAAGAGTGTAAGAATGAAAGGTAAAGAAAGTATAAGAAAGGGAGGAATTTAGGTAAAACTGGTGTACCACCGTGTTGACGTCACGTAAACGTATCTGCTCCCCACGGCTATTCACAATTACTAAGCCGTTCACGCTCACTAACCACTTCCCAAACTCACACTCACAAAACCAATTCACGCTCACAAACCACTTGCACGGTACTGTAACCTTGTAAAGTTGCATTGTATCCCATGGGGAACACGTAACTTACGAGTTATTTTGATTTTTTCGAAGGTCACATTTTGGCTTTATGTGATTAGAATGCTAAAGAACACTACACAGACGTGCTTTGTAGGCTATGTTCGCACCCCAATATGAGCACGGCGTCGCGCGGCCCATGGTAGGCACGTTTGCAATCTGCATAGAAATCAAAGTTTAAAGATATCGCGATAACAGTCCGCGATGAAATGTCAAATCAATAAGAATGTCTGCCGCCTTTTGGGAGTAGAAAATAAGTAGGGAGATTTACAATAACAGAGATAATTTGAAAGCAATACACTGATCTAAGTTCTGGTAATCAAAATGCTACCATCCTGATGTTGCTTGAACTTATAAAAAATTACTGAATAATGGCAACTGATACGACTGAATGACTGCAGAAAGTATCATCATGGTATTTTGTTCTTAAATATAAGCCGATGAGATCTTACAATATAAATAGCATAGTCTTTTTTATATGGGATACATATTGAAATCTTACCACAATGACTTCTCTCTCGTTCTCTCAGAAAGCAGACTTAGCGCTCGCCCCTCTGACCATCAGCTCCGACAGAGAGAGGGCCATAGATTTCACCAAACCGTTCATGGAGTATGGGACTGGTCTCCTGATCAAGAAACCCCCATCAGAGGGACGCTACCTCTTCGCCTTCCTCATGCCTTTCCAGATCGTGGTGTGGATCTGTATCCTGGTGGCGCTCGTTTGCGTGGGATTCATGCTATACGTAACCAGCAGGATAAGGTTGTGGTCTTTTGACTCACACGTATTCTATTTTCCAATTGGTTCGAATTCAAATTGTACAAGATTCGCAGATGGTCAATTTGATGTAAGGTTCCTGTAGAGTATTGTTAAAATACTTCATTGACTGTGCACAAAAACTGTGTTCATACACAAATGTGCATATGATGCATCAGATTTGACTAGATCTATGTTGTATTAACTATTGACTAGATCTACGTTGTTTTAAATGTGAACCGATTTTTCAGGTACATGCTGAGGGTGGGAGAACCATTTGACAATGATCGCGCATTTACATTGCGGAATAGCATCTGGTTCGCCTATTGGTCACTGGTCAAACGAGGTGAGGAACTTTACATATATCATCTCTGTGAGTCCTAACACGTATCCTTCCCACTACGTTCCTTTCGGAAAGTTTAGGCGCGGATGTTGTGAGAGCAAAGAGGAGTAAGGCTCTCTTGTGGACCGTAACTGCCGAGGATTACCAAGCCATCAGACAAGCTAACTCCTTTTCAACATGGCTCCCTCACCGCACTTAGCTGGCCTTAGAACTGACAGCACACGCGCCCAACCCATTCCTGCCCATAATCTGCAGGATGAAACTATTTCAGGCTGTCAACTCCAACGCGTCTATTTTCATCCCTTTTTCATTCATTTTACGCACGACTGTGGCAGCCGTAGGGACTGTTTCCAAATGAAACTAGCAAGCTTCAGGGGTGTTTTCTTTGTACGGGCCAGTTCATTAGCTCTATAAATCAACCAGTATGATGGCACATCAACAGCTACAAAACAAACGAAACCTCGAATGCAAAAACGGTTATATTTTGTGCACAACTTCGTGCACACCTTCCACCACTTCCTCATCTCTAATCCTACTCCGTTTATTTGGTGTCGTCTTGTCAGTCTTGTTTCTCAATGTGTTTCCATAGTCATGATCACATCCGTATTTTGGTCACAATCGGAGGCTGTGTTTACTGTCAGCCTAAGAACTGGCTCTACCAAGGAATACCCCTTTTCTTTCTCAGTGCGGACACTTGCTTTCACTACACGTCAATCGAATTCAATAAGAAAGGTAAATGCAGCCTCAGATTGTACAAACTTTATTTTAGGTGTTTCCCGTTTATTATTCCACCCCCGCATACAAAGAACACTTCCATTACAGTGAGTATTGCAGTAAGTAAAACCGATGCAATCAATGTTTTTTATTTTGCATTCATCAATGTTTGCTTCTATCATCACATCCTCCAGGTACACATGTAGCCTGTGTTAGGGTGGCATTCAGCTGTCTTGACATACATGTACAAAAGATTTAATTTTATCTAAATAAAACACTTCCAGTTGCTTACATGCCTTGCATTTGTATGTAAATACTTTGAATCTTTTCCTGCGGATGTCAAATTGACCATTAATGCCTAAGGATGTGCCATCATTCCTTCTGCTAGTCGAGGACGACTGACTGGCGTAGCCAACGTAGGTCTTCGACAATGACTTTATTTCAATAAATGATTTCCCCACCCAACATATTACTATTACTACGTACACCCAGTCAGACGTCCTCTATTACAAGCCTCTGGTTGATTTGTAGAATCTGTCAATGGGGAGTCAAAAGATGGTGGCCAGCCACGGGTGGTGGAGATGGGTATGAAAGATGCCACCCAGCCGGTCCATCCTGCTCCCCAAGGCCCGCCCCCCTCCCCGCCCTGCCGCCCCGGGTGTGGGAGTAGTAAGGAGCCCCGTTGGGACAGCGACAAGGCCTTCACGCTGTCCAACAGTATCTGGTTCACTTTCAGTGCGCTGGTGCGGAAAGGTAACGATAGACTAGCCTTTATATAACTTGCGGTTTATGATGATTATACATTGTTATGTGCCTGTTGCTTACCTCTCAATATATATGCACCATTTGAGGATCTGTGTTCAGCATTGAAATAAAAATCTGAAAGTAAACTGCTGCTATTGGACAGTTTTCATCAATTTCAAAGGAAAGGGGCATTGCCTTTGTCACAAATCGGAATTTATATAAACCTTGCTCGAAAAATTGGAATATTGATGAGTCACTCAGCGTTGACCAGCCTATCCTAGTGCATTCCAATGGCAATGCATGGATTCTCGATGCTTGTACGTGGCTTGCATCAAACCTGTCACACGCTACAGGTAAAGGCAATGACTGTGTTAGATGGCGAGAGTTAGCTAGTCGTACAAAATAATGTTTTTCCAACCATATCAGAAAAATTGAATATAGAACAATTTGGGGTTGTTTCGTGTGCCGGCCGGCCCCATGCCTTGTACGGCTTCAAACAGTACTGCTTCAGCTGTATCTTACTGATTTGTTTTGCGTCCCCAATGCATAGCATTCATGAGAAATCTGTGAAAACCACTTGAAAGTTGTCTAAATTCTTGAGCTACGTTACTGATTTATCTCCCATTTCCTTCTCGTTCCGCCCCAAGGTGGCGAGCCTGCCCCAAGGTCGCTCCCCATCCGGATATTGGCAGGTTTCTGGTGGCTGTTCGCCCTGATCGTGGTCTCCACCTACACCGCCAATCTCACGGCCTTCCTCACGGTCAAACGGCTCAGCTCCCCGATCGCCTCCTTGGAAGACCTGGCCAAACAAACTGAAATAGCCTACGGTCTGGAAAAAGACGTGTTTCTGTATAACTTCTTCAGAGAACAAGACGGTAAGTCCCCTGTACGTGGATAGATTTATCGCTTTATTTGTTACATGGAGGAATTGCACCAGCAACTAGTTCTTCTGATGGCCCTAATGCAGAAATGTTTTAATTCTAATATTTCTCTTCATGAATTCGATTATGCACACTTGAAAATATTCCAGAACCGTCAGTTTTGAGTTGGTAATCCACAAATCTCCCATCATCACCCGGTATTAAGGACAGACGTGTTGCTCCCAATCCCCCCATCACCTCCAAATCCTAGAACCGTAGGCTCTTTCCACATTGCGACCCACACATAATGATAAAGGCGGAGGAAAGGTATACTGGCGTCATCTATTTCTGGTAGATTCATCCCATCAACGGTAGGGTTAGCAAGGGCACCGGTTTCAAAATTGTTTTGACCCTCCGGAGCCCCAGTAGTAAATATTCTCGGCGCCTGAGTGAATCGCGCCAAGGTGCTGATTACAACTTTAAATGCTCGCACATCTACCCGTGTGTATAATCATATTCAGCATCAGCATTCATTGTGTCTCAGCTGTAGTCAAGTACATGTAAAGTAGTTCGTGCGGGTGTCTTTGAGACCTTTATCATTATGTGCTCTTCTGATGATCTAGACTTACTTTCTGTGTGTCGTCACTGAAAATCCTAAGGCATCATAAGTAAATAGAATTTTCAAACCCCGTTCGAATCTTTATTCATTTAACATTCGTTTTGTGTGTGTTTGCCCAACAACAATGGTCTTCTGAGACCGGAATGACAAAGAGGAAGACGATCTGAAGTACTTTTCCTTTGTCGTCACTGAAAATCCCCATAGGTATCAGAAGTGAATCAGTGCATCAGAAGAACACCTTAGCAGACACCTTTCAAACATTTATCCATTTTAAGTTCATTTCCGTGTGTTGTCAGTTTGCAAGACGCTCCAGAAAGACGCTTGACGAATGTGCCTCTCTGCCCTTCGGAAGGATAAGACAGAAGGATGAAGTCAGGGCGTTAACTGTTATCTTTACCCCGTTTTCTCGGTAATCTTGTCAATGTGGGATGTGTTGAATCCCGTGCACAAAATACCAAATGCCACAGCGCTCAGCGCGCGTTGTCTATATGGCGCATCTGGGATGTGTGGGCAGCCCACAGACAGATGGTGGGTGGTGGGGGCGGTATTGTCAAATCGAGCCAATCATTCACTACACACATACTGTACCTAGACGCATTATTCCCCCATAAAGTAGTAAATCTGAGAGATGAAAAGAAAAATTTAACATTTTCTACACACACGTACAGTGGACGGCAATCGGCTATGGCTTGAAGGGAGGGGGCGTTTGTTTCTATACAGTCACGTTCTTTTGAAGGAAGGAAGGGGAATCATTCATGACATTTGAAATATACTTTTACACACAGTCATGGTTATCCCAGATACTTGCTTATTGTCCTGTAATTCTTATAATTTCACCATCAATGAATATCACAGCAGTTCTTCCCTCTTACTCGCCGACTTCGCTTTTCAGGTCAACCCGGTCGTTTGAGGTGTCACTTCACGATAAACTATCATCGCCCCGCCATAAATAACCATATCCCAACAGCAGCGATAAATGGCCGATCTCTGCGGAGTAATTATAGGTGAATGACCTTTGCAGATGAAACATGTGATTATCTGCTGAGGAAATCCCAGGCGGTGCCTGGTGGCCAAACAGGTCCACATTGTTTAGACGCCTTTCTATCATCCATCATTCCTGCTGCAGGTACCGGTAGTGTGTTCGAGCGCATGTGGCACAGCATGAGCGCCGACCCCAACAACTTTGCGTCCAGCCTGAATGAGGGGATCGAGAAGGTTCGCGATGGGAACTACGTGTTCATGGACGACGAGCCGATCCTGGAGTACCTGGTGGCAAACGACGAGAACTGTGAGCTGATGTTGGTGGGGAAGCCCTTCCTGTACCGGGGGTACGGCATAGCCACACAGCGCGGCGGACACTTGTTAGACAAGCTCTCTGTTCAGTAAGTAAAGCCCAGACGTTTCTATGTAGCCTGTGTAGCCCATGTTACACATTCACGACCTTTCCCTGAAACTGTTCCCGAACACCAGCCGAACGGGTTTTCATTTAGGCCATGTCTACCTTTCAATATGAATTGAAACGAATTTTAGTAAAATTGGAGTCACATTTGATCCCTGAACACGCCCAAACACTGCTGACTTACTCCCAAATGGTTGGCTGATGTTACGGTCGAAAACCAGCAAACTATGATGAAAACTTCTGAACGACTCACGAATGTTCTAAACATTAGACCATGGGCTGGCGCAGCCTACTGTTTAGGCTGGCGCAGACCTCTCCGAACGCCAGCTGACCCAACCGGCCGACTCTGCGCCGATCCACTCCTAACCATGATCGGTGGGTGTTCGGCTAGCGTTCGGGAGGCCAAATTCGGGAATGTGTGACAGGGGCTTGTGTGGCATCATCAAAGTAATATTCTCTCTTCAGTAAAACTTATACCTCCACTACTAACTACTGCTTACCAGAAGACTTGCAGAGAAAATTTACTCTTACTCATAGAAACTTGGTTAGGAGTACACAAAGCCATGCTAACTGTTATTGTCTACAATTCTCTGGGTTTTACAAGGCAGGGTCACTAGGATCGGATGTACGGGTGAATCAGTGAATGAATTTATGTATTGAAAGACCATTTCACATTTCCTTGAGAATGGTGGCATGTAGAGCTGTTGCTAGGTTTCAGTTTGTTTGCTCTGTCTGATCTAAATACAAATCTTTGAAGAAACCGTGATAAATGAACCTCCGCAACTTTCCACCTCATGTTATCCCTGTGCGAATCGCAATGATCCCTGATATCCATCACGCTTAGCATGTGTCCCGAGCAGGTTTAGTGCAGTTAATGAGAACATTATTCTCTCTCTACGTAATTTGAAACTTCGCGAATCACGCTGTTCTTTTACTAGCCAGTGTCTACTGGGTGTATGCAACGCACTGTCTCCATCACCTTCAAATTCGACCTTGTTGGCTAACTTAAAATGTACTTACGTGGAGGGAATTCGTGACCCCAGCTTTATACTAAGTTGTCTTTTCCAAACTGAGGCCTGACCGGGCTGTTTCCTTTAACAAAAAATAAACAATTCACATCGAGAATATACGCAAATGGTGCTCACGATTATCATTCGCAACTTTCTTGTCATACGTTTCGTTCCAGCACGATTATCATTCGCAACTTTCTTTTCATGCGTTTCGAATTCGTTCCAGCACACTGCCCGGCCGGGCCCCGGGTTGGGAAATGTGATCTTAGCATTTTACATGGAGATTTTCAACTAATGATAAAAACTGTTTAATGTGTGGCATTGTCTGTATAGCCTGCATACTACAAGTCGCGTGAATGTTGGTAAATAGAAATTACATATTTTGTCTGTTGTTAATTTCCTGTTAATTTAACAAGCGTGGATGATTGTTAATTTAACGAGTTAAGCGTGGATGTTTTGATTTCTGGAAGAGTTTTCCACTACAGTACCTCTTAGCGTTAATGCTACTGTATGTACTTGTATCAATCCTCGAAGACGTAATATCTTGACATGATAAAAAAATGACATATGTTTGTGCTTTACCCTAACAGCCTAAAGGTTGGGACGTTGTGGATTTAGCAGCAGTAAATTTCATTACTTCCCATGTAGCGTCTGTGGTCTAGACGCCATTTCCTGGTGTCCCATTGCTTTGTAATCAACGTAGTACTACTTTCTCCAACTGCAATGCGGCAGCTATGAAATCACTTCACTGCAAGAGTTCTACAAGCCTGTTATTGATGAGAACGATGACCTGACAATGCCCCGGGATCTCATTTGCAGGCAGGAATATCCCGGCGAGACCACATAAAACGCCACGGGATGAGCCGCAAGAATAACCATTTAAGCTTCGAACTTACTAGTAGTTTGTCCTTCCGAGTTGCAGTAGTTTTACAGGGAAATACCACTTACAAAATTCCACTTTGTGCCGTGGAACTTTCTCAGGCAAAATATGACGGCGCAATGACTCAGTGTTTTTATGTTGTGAAATTTTGCCCTCGTAAACGTACAAAAATTCAAAGACATTCAACCACGTAACTCCTTTGTCACCTATAGCCCCCATTAAGAATCAGTACATTTGTCTTTGTCCAGTTTCAAGTTACAATGTTATCTCAACTTTAGTTGTTGATGTTTTAGAACCCTGGGACTTTGATGAAAGTTTTAGAACTTTAGTGCAGCGCCACATAGTCCGTACCGGCGTGACCTTGCTCGTGTCGTCTGGGAAAGAAGAAACGTTAGTTAACCGCCAATGTACTTTAAAACCTGGGATGATGAATCGTCCTCTTCCCTTGTCAAGATCAGCCTTACCCTCTGGAGTCTGCACATTGGATAACAGCAATAAACCGGCCATCAGTCAGCATACCAACGCGATACACACCATTAGCCTGTGAATTGGAGAAATGTGAACGACCTTAACGACAAAGTCATGGTGTTATGATGATTTGTATTACTACTGTCTTAATGTTTTCTAGACTCGCCCACGGAAAGATACGCTTTTACTCTCAAACAAAGCAATCGGCGGGTGGTCTACTGTTGGTGCTGTGGCGCCAGTCGGGGGGTGAATATCTACACACTCATTCATCCTGCCATGTTCCTCCCTGTGAACCTGGCATTTCACACTATCAAAAAATGACCGGGATGTTTTAGTTATTTCCTACCGCTGCTTATCAATACCTCACGGGCCATATTCCATCTGTTGATTTATACATAGGTTACCCGAAATGTGTATGACCGCCAGAAAGGGCAGACTGGTGGTGCAATCAGCCCCGCACATGTCAGACTTGTCTATTCATCACAACCGTCAATGGCCGGAGGTGTGAAGTTCACGGAGAACATATTAAAGTACAAAAAGCTGCACAGACATAGCCACAGGTCGAGCTAACTAATACTATATGAACTTCGTGTGATTTAAGTTACATAAAGACACAGATATGAAATTATACAGTTTTTATTGTTAAGCAAATAACTTTCAATAGCAACCATTCTTCTGCCTTCTAGCGGCTGTCCAGCACATCCCGGGATTTCTCCCCTTCTTCAATGGAGGATCTTTGTTTATTTGTGTGCCTTTGTAGGCTATTTTCCTATTCATGTGAGAGCAGTGTATTATTACAAGATACATAAAAGGTCATATCATATCATGTAATATGTGGAGCAGTATTCTTTTCCAGACAAGTGGTAGTGGAGACGTGGGACACTGGCTACTACTTCATCTTCTTGAAAAAAATTAGTATCAAGAAATCATTTTCAAATTTGATTCAAACTGATTCAAATTCAAACTGATTCAAAGTCGCTCGAAGATATTATGAAATTTACCAGAGAGAAATCACCCCTGTTATTGCAATATCGGCATTGTGGGTTGAAAACTTTGAAATTGTCCTTTTTCCCTCCTCGACTTTTTAAACATCTCTCGTACTCAAGTATTTTCAATGTGTACCGCCCGCCTAATGCCTGTCCCCTATCTTCAGGTTTCGTATTGTACACTTAATGTCTGGTCGGCCTTTACTGCTGGGTTTCCTTACTATGCACTTAATGCCTGTCCTATGTCTATTGGATCCTCATTCTCCACTTAATGGCTCCACCTGCAGGTTCCGTTCCGGTAGCCTGATATTTCCGGCTATAGCTAGACGTGTTGGCTTTTCGTGATGTACACGGGCTCCTGTCTGTCCTTTATCTTCATTAGACGTGCGCTCACCGGAAAGATCCGCCTGGAGCATGGCATCGTCTCTCTATCTCTCTCTTACACCACAATCCCAATGAAATGGGATTGAGAAGTGACTGTAGTTCACGTGCGTGTGTGCAGTATCTGATGTGCTCAAAGGAATACATATGGAAGCAGGCGTACGTGGTGAATGTCACATTGACGTGGTTTCAACAAGTTGAGCTAGTTGAACTTCAACAAGAAAGGGGCGGCTTGCCACGCAAGGGACCGGAGATGATAGTGAACTCTGAAGCAATCTTCCATGCAATTCACGCAGTCACTCGAGTTTTGACAGCCATTTCTAATAGTGTTTGCGCAATACATCCCGCCTGTCCGTAAAACCAAACTAAATCAGATCACTTAACAGTCTTAGTCACAAGCCAGTATTAACTATCCAGATGTTTGGAATGCGGACTTCCCAAATCCGTGAGTGTGACATATTGGATCGTGGCGATGGACTGATGTACGCAAGGCACTGTACACCACATTGGTGAGAAGCATCTTAGAATACTGCTCACCTTTGTGGTCTCCTCAGTCCCGCAAACTCATGTCCCTTGTAGAAGGGGTGCAACGGCGGGCGACTAAATTCATTCTAGGAGCCCACTCGAACACCCTGACCTACAAGGAACGTCTCTCCACTCTTGGTCTGTTGCCTCTTGCGCACAGGCGTGAAGTTTGCGACGTCATGGTGTTTATTAAGTCTAAACCAATTGTTCACAAGTATGTATCCTTCCCTTCCAGACCCTCTAGATACCTCAGATCGCACATGCTTACCCCCATTAGAGTAAGGACATCAGCCTTCAGCTCTTCTTACATACCAAGGCTGGTCACCATCTGGAATCAGCTGAGTCCTGTCCTCCGTAATATTGGGGTTCAAGCCTCTGAAATGTCCAACATCTTGACATTCAAGCGATCGCTTGTGAGTGCCACGCTTATGAGATTTGACACCCAGTTCAATATCGACGTTCCCTGCTCCTGGTCCACATCTTGTGGGTGTGCCTCATGCACTGCTTTAAGGCCGCATTAGTATCATAATTAGCTTTTTAATCTGTACATAATGACATTTGATAATTTTTGTACATAATCAATTCTCTGTATAACTTTTACCGAATTGTATATTTCATGTCTACTGATTTTTGATGTCTTATGCCTAATGTTTATTGTTTGACTTGGTTCCGTATTGTTTTGTATTATCATTTCAGGTTTGGGAGGACAACTTGTAAAGGCGTTGATACACCTGTTTTGTCCTCCCTTCCACTTGTTTTTGCATGTGGTAAATTCAAATAAAGAAATAAAGAAAGAAAGAAAGATGGAGTTATGTCCTTGGTTATGGTACACATTTAATCCAAGAAGGCATAATAAAAACCTCAAGCACCACAGTTTTGCACCCAGCTATGTTATGCTAGTGAGTTAATTTGTTGTAGATGGTCGTGGCAGTGAGTTCTGTGGGAGTGTGGGACAGGGGTGAGTGAGTGGGTGGTTGAGTGGGCTAATGAGTGGACTACTTGGCGCGAGAATGAATAATGATGGAGTGGGCAATGGCCGAAGCTTACATGGTTGATTTACGCAGTACCCACAATGGCTGACATGAGGAATTACCGACGAAGTGCAAGTTCTTTCTTTTCCAATATCGCACAGTACGTAGCTGCAGAGAAGCGATGCATCAAATTTCGGCGATATAAAAGCATAGCTTTTTAGGAAAGGTGTGACTGTCGTCCCGTTAGTTTCCGGCACGACGCGAGGCGTGTAACTAGAAAGCGGTCGATAATAGGACCGGCATTACTTGAGATCGACCCGAGTCTTGAGCGAGGGAAGTATTCAATTACAACACGTGACTTACTCTAATCTGATGCGATCGTGTCCAAACTTGATTTCTCCATGAAAGTACATGCTGTGTAACCAGTCGTGACCAGAATCGCTCCTTATTGAATACCTAGATCAGGCGGTATATGCTGCGGCTATTCGACGATACACGGCACTGGTTGATGCTTGTTAATACCCACATGATAAGAGTGGACAGGGCAGGTACGATAAAGTACAAACAAATTCCAAGTAACACTTTGAGTTCTCATCTAGTTGCTAAAGCTAAACCCTCAATAATTAGTTGTCCGTCTCTATTTTGCCAAGCCAATTGAAAATCATATTTGTAAGGGTAGTCATTCAGATTTTTAAGATATGTTTTTCTGTGTTATTTTGTCTTCTTGCTGTTCGTGAGTATGGTGGAGATTTGACTGTGACTATGTGTATGGAAGGTTGTGTCCAGGCTTCTAGAGTGTAACTCGTGTTTGTATTTGTTACAGGATTCTAAAAATGCAGGAGTCCGGGCGGATCGGGATGCTGAGGGACAGGTGGTGGCCTAAGGAGGGCTGCGTCAGCGACCACTCCCCCGCCGCTAAGGACGCCGTGGCGCTGGGCATAGACAACGTCCTGGGGGTGTTCTACGTCCTCCTGGGCGGGGCGGGACTGTCCTTCATCACCGCCGCGGCAGAGATCATCTACCACCGCTGCTGCAGACCCAAACTCCCCAAGGAAAAACAGGTGAGACGATACAAGGGCGTATCAGTCTGTGGGTGCAGACTTCAACCCATGTTCGACACAACTTCTGTCATGACCGGTGAAGTGATACAGTACACGCATCAACACTTGTCATACTTACGAACAGACGTTGATAAACGTTTGAATTTGACTAAAAAATTCCATAGCCACGAAGCAGTATTGGTAGAACACGACAGCTTTAGCCATAGTATCACTGTGACAATAAGGTTGATGGTAAGTATGCGGGCAGATTTTCTTTTAGGTTCCTTCTTTCTTTATCATTTTACCGCACGAGCACAATACCGTACACACTTAACCTAAACATAGCACCGTTTCAACAGATGGATGTCATCTCTTAGATTACCATGGACAATTGTAAGATAGTCTTACTACAACTGACACCCGTATCTGTCATGTTACTTGTCTCCTTGTATTTCCCCAGCTCAGACAAAATCGCTTCGTCTTGCGGGAACTATTTCAGTGTTGGCGGGGCCGTTTTTGTGAGACACAGGTGGGCATGCGCTGCAAGATGGATGTGGTTGTCGTTGTCGAGATAGCCGCATGATGGCCCTCTTACCCACCGTCTCGTGAAAGGGCGCCATCGTGCGATATTTCCGACAATAACATTCTTCCCGAAACAGCTTATGACCATTGGATGTGTCTGCAGACGAAAGATGATATGAACGAAATGGACAGAAACTGGGTGTGTTTTGCGTGAGATAAACATGACGTGTAAAGCCCTACTCCATCTGCATATAAAAGCCCAACCAAAACTTTGCCAGAGATAGATGAACTGCCCAAGGCCTACCTATATTGAAACAGTAGTTACGTACACTTACAGTTACGAGTATTTCTCAATGTTTAAGACGCTGACTCTTCAAAGGTCTATCTGCTTATTGTCACTAATAGTTACACAGGAAAAATTAATGTATGAGTCATTGTATTCAGATTTAGGGCGCGTGAATTTAAAGTGGTCGAATAGGTCAAGAACCCGCATCTTGATCAAAGATAGTTCATCTATCTTTGGCTCCGCCCACTTTCAGTTTCCCGCATGGCTGGCGCTCATCACCTCTGTGTGCGTCCGTTTCTTCGTGATTGCTTTGACCTACGCGACTCGCTGTGGCCTTTGACTTCTCCCGATCACCGTCATATCCTCTCTCTCTCTCTCTCTCTCTGTCTTCCATCTCTCATTCACTCTCTATCTTTTGTACGAAAGCCACAAAATTGTAGAGATGTGGTAGCACCCTTCCATTCCATTTAGGCTATCTGTTTGAGACAAAGCACTTTCCATTGCGTTTCCAGCGAGTTGTGTATCCCTTCCCTTTGTGTTTCTGGTGGCCGGTGTTTCCCCTTCCCCGTGTGTTGACAGTGATCGTTAACCTACCGTTCTCTCCCCAGGAGGAAGAACCCGCCAACAGGATGCCTCCGACCGTATCGGAGGAGACCGAGGAGATCCGAGTCACACACGAGATGCTGAAATTCCTCAGATGTATAGAAAACGGGTCGTTAAAAATCGTGGCGCGGAACAATCAGGACGGCTTCGCGCTACAGCAGCCGAACTGTGTCCTGTCGGACACCAAACTCTGAGGGCCACTATCATCACAACAAAGTGCCAATCAACTCTCCGTGGGACGACACCCAACGTTACTCACCGTTGCGTTGAACTCTGCACCAGTAACAACACTTCTTCAGGGCATATGATAGGATGTTAGACGGACCAATGATTTCTCTGTAGATAGAACGTTATGACGTATGTTCATCATTGTTACCGCTGCCGTTGCTCCGACGATTCGCGCATGTGGAACGCAGCTCTTTTAGAAGCTTGTACCTTTAATAGGAAGGAGGCTACGCTCAAAGCGCCCCCTGTCAAGTTACCGTGGACTTGTGCTAACTTTGCAGTGCATTTTGCCTGTTTCCATTTAGATAAGGTCTATGTAGCTGGGTTGTAGACAGCCCAGAAACTAGGAGAGACGTAGCAGCACGAGAGACCTACCATCATGTGGGTCTTGTACCCGAGGCCGATTATTATTAGATTGTGTTTCGTCTCATTAAGAGGTCTACAAAAGAGTGTGGGTAGTGGTCAATATGTTTTACGCCTATTCCAACTCCCCTCCCGCAATGTCTTTCTGTTGTCGGTTACAACGCTTCTGTAGACGATATTTAAAGCTTTTTGTAAAAAAAGAGTAAAAACGAACTTTTACCGGGGAACATATAGATTTCAGTACAATGTGTATCAGTGCTCTCTCATCGACAGACTTTCATATTTCTGTGATTGCACTTGTCAACAGGTTTTGTAGTATTTTGAAAATTTCTTGCTGTGAGGGTGAGATTCAAAATATTCTCATGCATTGAATTTTCTGCGCCGAAAGGGGAAATTATACGGGAAGATAATGATATGTGTACGTTTTTGCATGAAATGCGAAAAAGAAAGCGACCCTAGGGACTGACCCACGAATGGATATTAACTCCTTAATAGATCTTTACAACGAAGTAGAAAGGCTGGGAAACTGTACAATTATAACTACCTTTATGTAAATTTTATCTACCGAAACTTATGAGAGATGTTTATGATAGTTCTTCCCGTAGACGGACCATGTCATCGACGGAACAGATCATACTCCCTATACCCAGATTTCAGAACGAGATGATCTCAACCCGTGTCAAATATGACGATATAACTCTCCGCGTGATCCGTATGTCTACTGATGTTCACGTCGGCTAGTTATCTGGCCTATAACCTTACCTAACGCCATTGGAACGATGCCTGTGCAGTTGCCCGAGTCACAGTGTGGTACAAGCAGTAGCTACTCCAGTCACAGGATCAGTCACTGTCGCATTTATTGATTTGTGGCCCAAACGCGGATTTGATGGACTCAGTGAGTAATTTAATTAAAGAAATTAGAGGAATTAGAGGCGAGATTGGGGAATAAGAAGCAGACTGCAAAAAATCAACATCGAGTTTGATGCTATAGGTATGTTTACGATAAATGTCGACATACAAGACCACGGCATCGTTTGATGCGACAATCTTGGCCCTTATATACACAACATATACCTCTGTGACCATTATATAAATGATTTGATAGCAGTTACCTTCCGCCAGGGTAGTGGTATTTTGGAGCTTGCATGGATAAATCAAGACTTTCTTCAATGGAAAAAAAACAGAAATATTGCTAGTTTTGTGCAGCATGCAGTTGACATAAACGCTCTGCGCATTATATCCGACCTATTTCTTTGGTAATGTTAATATCGTTCCAATGTTCTAAGTGCGAAACTTTGGATATCTTTTATATTCATTTTCGAGAAAATCATGATCATATACACTTTGTTTCCACAACACCTTTACGAGTGGTTGACCATGAACCTAGGCTGACCTGCCGGTGACCAAACATCTGACAAAACATGAGATACGCTCGTAATATTGACTTCAAATATATGTTTTCGTTTATTCAGATGATGGACATTGATGAACATTGTGGTTGACACGAAGTTCGTTTGAAAATGAGCGAATGCACCGATATGTAATCAGACGCGGGATGGGGGTAGGGAGAGAACACTTGTACTGTACTGTCGATTAAGCTTGTTGGGAAAGACGAGCCACATTCTAAACAAAGCATATAGTGCTCACCTCGCCGATATGGGAGAGAAGATCTGTGCTTCAATATCTCCACCCAAGCTGTGTCCTCTTGGTTTGCATGTAGCAGGAGAAAGTGTTAATGGTGTTTAGACTAATGTTTAGATGACTGATGTGTACATACAGAACAACAGTAGATAGTAGGTTTTACACGTTTCTCAAGACGTCATTAGGAACTTGTGACTGGAGTGTTTTTCTGGAAAGCAGCCGCCGCTGTAGGCTTCAGCACACCTCTTTGTTGCGAAGCTACAGGCGATCACTCGTACACGACATTCTGAGTTCACTCTCTCCCTACAATTCTAATAAACCTTATGTGAAAACTTGTAATGAATAAAAGATAAACAAAAAATCTGTCTCTAATGTTTGATACTTTGTACTATCGATAGCAACAGTAATTGACACCATTAAGTAAATGAAGACGCATCATGGTCTGAACTTGCAGTGCTCCAGAGAATGTGCCAAGGTATGCTTAACTGCTACAATACGTGATAGGTGTGAACAGACATGAGTGAATTTTAATTTTTGAAAATGCTGTAGCTTATACATAACATGTAACCCGTAGCGTTCCAACTAAAGATTTCACGCTCTAAACAAACTAATCTAACAACATTCGACATCTTTAATCTGTGAGGTCTTCAAAACAAACTGTTCCTAACATTTTCTCGACTTATATAGTACGTGTTTCCCTCCTAGTATCTATAGAGGTGGGATATTTACTTTTACTTTACTTTCGCTGTTTAAATCTTAAATCTATTCATTTGTGAATGTAAATATTTCTTGAATGAATGAATTAATGGGTGAATGAATCCTTTCTTTAATCTCGATTACAATACTATAACATATACTCAGTATACTCAGCAGTGGTTAATTCAGGCATTTTTGCTATGTTTGACATTGTTCTCCACTAAGCTTGATTCCGGCATGTTGATAACTCTCCATTCCCGTATGAGCCGCCGGCACGCCAGGGGAAACCAGACCAGGTTCAGCAGCTGGAGGACAGGGAAACAGCCGAGACATGCGAGCAGTACGGGCACACCCAGCTGGTAGAACTGTGTGGTCAGCAGCAGAGGCATCAGGTGGTACCTGGAACACGCCCTAGGTTTACTCACAATAGTATTGTCGTCTGTATCGACTGGGCGGATAGGTAATGCAACATTCCTGTATGAACATTTAAAGTTAAGGTGCGTCCAACACTAGCAAGACTTGATCAATGGATGGAGCGCTCATTTTCTAGTTTTAGTCAGACTTACATGACTTTTGATAAATATCCTTCTTTCCTTTGAAGTACAAAGAGATAAATGCATTTTATCATATTCGCTCTCTGGAATCAATCGCCAGTGGACAAAGTAGCGACAATCAAAAATTCATGGATTGTGGATTGTTTGTTCCATAGTTATGATTTATTATATAGAAGAAGGATAAAGGGCGTCGTGGAAAATTATTTTGTCCTTGGTTCAAATTTAAGTATCTTTTCCTGCTAATAGGCAAACACTTTGGTTAAATACATGTAAGACACATTTAGTGTGATGGAACAATGAATTGAAATACATAGTTACCAGAAGATGCAGAATCCAAAGATGATCCTCGTGCAAAAGAACGTCATCAAGAAGGCAAAGATGACTAATAGGTACAACCTTGGATAACTCAGCTCCTTCATCATGATTCTGTACGGAAAAGGATGGGACAAACCATGACAAGTATCAACAGTACCGCTCAACAGTATTTCTTGGTAAATGGTCTTTTGGACATAAATGACGTCTCCAAAGAAACAATGTACCGTCCCTACCCTGAGCAGTAGAACACAGTGGAGACTTCCATCATCAGCCCAATGTTGACGTAGTACGGCAGTGAACTGGAGAACTACAAATGTCCAGTAATTACCTTCGCCAAGAAGGTTATGTTTTCAGAGGCGTTCGTGTATGTGTGTGTGTGTGTGTGTGTGTGTGTGTGTGTGTGTCTGTCAACACGATAACTTGAGAAGGCTTAAATGGACTGACTTGATATTTGGTAGGTGGGTAGGTCTTGATGAGACCTCAAAATGATTAGATTTTGGGCCACCTGGCGGCTTGTCATGGTACTGCAGCAGAACTTTCGGTTTTGATATCTCATGATCCAGACATGCTAGGGTGACGAAATTTAGATGGTAGATAGCTCTTGTGCTGGGGATGAAGTGACACGAGTATGAGCCCCCTAGTTGCTTGCTCTAGAACTGCAGGGGGGTTTAAAGGACAAATGTTTAAAAGAGGATAACGCAAGAACCGATTGATGGA